CAGCGCGGGGGCTGGCGGGGCGCTTTGATGTGCCGAGCCGCGGGGTCAGCGCGGGGCAGGGCCTCGCCCCAGAGACATGTCCCTGGCCACCCGACCCCAGGCTGAGAAAGGGCAGACCAAGGACCCCCTCCCGCTCCCCCTCCCCCTCATTTCCTTCTCTCTTCCTCTCCAGTGTTGCCTTTTCGTCAAATCCCGAGCCTCCTGCAGTTAGGTAGGGGACTCCAGCAGACATAAGCCACCAGGTACATGTCACTGCCATCAGCTGTGGGTTATCAGGGTCCCCAGAGCCCTAAGGACCTAACAGCAATCAAACTTCGAGGGGACTCCTATTACAAATGAGTATCAGAGGAGCAGATTCTCCTAGGCTGGCTTCATATGCAACAGGAATCAGACCTTGATTTTCCATTTGTCCTGAGCGGTCCACTCTACCATGGCTAGTTTGGATTTGGTTGAAAGTTGATCAAGATGACCATGGAAGGGGTGAATGCAGGACCCTTATTAGGTGGAGTGTTTCCTTACTTGTACCTCCAGTAGTAATAGAACTGGGAAGCAGGGCAGTCTTTCAAATTCTCCTGAGGCTCATAGCTGGTGTTTCTTCTAATCTATTCCATCTATGTGCCTTTTTCCTCCTGCATGCAGAATAAATGTTGTTATGTGCACCGAGGCATGTGTGAATGTGCACCACCAGTAGAAACATAAAACCTAGCTGCGGGGACTCTGCTGATCACCTGGGTAGCATTAGAATCTCTCCTGCACTAGCACACAGCTTACAGAGAATACCACTTGTAGTTCCTAAAGTATTAACTCCTTACTCAACATTAGCAAAAGGGCCAAATCTGTATTTGTATCCACAGTGCACTGAAATGGTCCACAGATATCTGCAGCTGGATTTAAAGCACATTTCTGTGGGTTTGCAGGGCTCTGCAGATCTGGGCCAAAGCAGTTTGTGTCTTGATGCTGCTCAATTGACATCAGTAGGAATCTTGTCATTTATTTCAGTAGGAGAAAGATCAAGCACTGTGTAAATTCTGCCTCTCTGAGGACTGTTTTTCTTAAAATGGCCACCTAGACCTGGCTCTCAGCAATATAAAAAAATCTTCGTTTACATACTAATGATATAATCTGCACCAATTTGGCTATATCTGGGAACAAACAGACGTCGCTGGATTCATTCCTCTGTTAAGTCTTTTTAAAATGGCTTTCACTGAATGTTTTGGCAGGGCCACAGGGTTAACATAGAAGCTGAGACAGCAGTAAATGCCAGACAAATTAAAAATTAACTTAAAAACAGACAAAAAAATTAGAGCTCTGAAAAAAAATGGGTTAAGACAGAAATGGTGTTTAAAACTTAATATAGTGCTGTAGATGCCACGCCATGCTAACACGACACTGACTTTGAATACTGCTCAGTACAGAATAAATGCCTTAGCAAGGGAAGGGTCCGATTCAGAAGTTGCTTTGGGTCATGGGTCCATTGCCTTGTTTCAAAATTGCCCAGTATCCAACAACAGTCATGGATCTCTTTGAGAGCTGCTGGGTGACCGCATTTGAAAATTACGTCAATA